ATTAAACACATACGATACCTGCTCAAAATAGATATGCAACAATGGGTAACCCACATCTCAATATTTAGAATAAAGCGGAAACATCCAAATATTGAATCGATCTCATTCATAAAAGTATATACAACCATCAGTTAATTCATGCTTTACAACATATCCACAGCAGATACATACACATATGTATCACAAAAGAATCAAAGCAAATGTAACTCCAAAAGAGTCAAAGGCTTCCTAACTACCCAGATGTTACATATCAGAGCCATTGACCAAAAAGAATGAAGACATCGCTTCACAAAAAGAACCTCCAGCTTCCTACTCTGCAATGCCTCATAGAGCATTATAAAACAGCAGAAGGGTGAGAAACAACATCATAACAGTTAATGCATAAAATTGTATATATACATAACTCCATAATTATACAAGTTATACTCAAATTATGTTCTCACCACATTAAGCATATACAAATAATCATGTCTCTACACATACACATGAACATTCACTATATTTCCTCCAAACAAATCACATATAACATACACAGTTATATTCACACAACCAATGCATCATACACAGATGACTCATGCAACTCATAGAGACCGACACACGACTCTATGCAGATGCAAATGCGGTACCGACTCATTAAACAAATTCCCTAAGGAATCGAGTATTCAGCAGACCCTCCACGGGATCAAGTACTCAGTAGATTCTCCACGGAATCAAATATTCATCAGATTCTCCACGGAATCGAATATTCAGCAGATCCTCCACGGGATCAAGTACTCAGCAGATTCTCCATGGAATCAAATACTCTAGCCAATCCTCCACGGGATTACATGTTTTGACCGATTCTCCGAGGAATCACACAATGCAACCGATTCTCCAAGGAATCACACAATGCAACCGATTCTCCAAGGAATCACACAATGCAACCGATTCTCCAAGGAATCTAATATAACCATCGTATCATACGAGGTTCTGCAAATCCTCCGAGGGATTAATCGACACAAAAATGCATACTATGCTCACGAACATACTCATTGCATTTATCACATACATAGCATATATCTATCATGCATTCACATTATACACCATTCCACACATGGTTTACACACATATCAGCCTATCAATGCGTTTCTATTCAATTCGAGCAAATACACAAGATTATCAAATATTCAAGATTTATCGTTTACTCTACAATCTAGGATTCACGCCTTTCGGCCACCCACGGCGCGACATGTCAAAATAGTTCACACATCAATCATTCATATAGGCATTAATCATAATTGAATCAACCAAACATCATGCTATGAACAAACAGCAAAACAAAATAACACTGCCAGGTTCGCCAACCTTCGCCTGGCGAAGCCACGCAGCGAATGCTCGCTGGCCTTCGCCTGGCGAACTCCCCAGCGAAGTCCACTGGGAGTAATTCTGGAATTACTCGCTGAGGCTCGCTACCCACTCGCCTGGCGAACCTTCGCCAACTCACTTCGCCTGGCGAACTTGCCAGCGAATACAGAATATTAGCTTCTGACTTGCTTCGCTACAGCTCGCTGGGCTTCGCCTGGCGAAGCTTCGCTGCCATTCGCCTGGCGAACTTGCGAAGACAGAACTTCCATGGCTGTCTCAAAGCCCAAACTCCACACAACCGACCGATTAAATCCAAACCAGTCACAGTAGCACAACCCAACCATCACCCGACTAAACTACATCATCTAATCCGATTTCTAACCGATTAAAACCTCATTCTACTCACAAAACCAACTTCTAACCTAAGTGGAAGAAGAGTAGAAACTCTACAAAATCCACACACATACACATACAATCACATACATTAAAGAGATGATTGAGTTTCACACCCTTACCGATCGATTGCAAGCTTTGGTGATGACCCCTTGATGATTCTAGGTTTTCCTCTCCACTTTCTCTTCTCTTTCTCTTCTCCTCTTTTCTTTCTCTTGTTTTTCCTCTTATGTTACTATCTTTCTTCCTTTTTCCTCTCTTATTCTATTTCTATCTCTATTTCTTTCCTCTCAAATTCTTTCCAACACTTACCAATCAATTCTCACACTAAAGTGCTAAATGTCTAAAATGCCCTTTTTACTCTAATTCCCCGAAAACTCTCCGAATCGGTAAAAATAGATAAAATAAGCAAACACCCCATAATAACAATATATAATTTCTCAATTAAAACAAACATCAATTAAATAAATTAAAAGACTCAACAATTAATGGAAATTCAGAATCGGGGCGTTACAGGAAGACCCCTTTCAAGTGTTAGATGAAATTGACTCCCTGAAGACTCATAGTTTGCAATGCACATAGTTAAAAGTTGACTGTGAAAGAGGTGTGCTCTAAAGCTTTCAAAACCACAACAAATGTCCAGTATGGTTCCAACCTATGAATGTCAACATGTCAATCACAAAATATTCCAGACAAGGAATATCACGGTCGAAGTTTAAGAGCTATCTTCTTATTCACTATTTCCATAACCTATCAAAATATCAATCACAAAGCAAATCCCTTCAATTGCAAGGTACGATAAGTTTTATAAATATAACTAATACAAAGTTAATCACCATGTTGATGTCCCTAGCCAATAATTTCAAACAGAGGTGTATGAGTCCGGCAAGCAGAGGCTCCACTTCACACTGCTGCTTCAATCCAATATTGACAACAAATAAACACTCCAATTGAACCAGCTTCCCTTGCATTCATTATTTCCTCCTGGATAGCTACCTCAATAGCCCTATCTTAAATATTCAAATCTTAAACAACAACACTATAAATTGAAACAGGGTCGCCAGAATGAATAATAACACAAATATTCGATAAACAAAAACATTCACATCCAAAGACTCATGACAATCTTCCTCAGTAATTTTCATTAAAGCTCTAACACTTAATCAAATCACATTTTTAGATACAAAAGTATAAAATCAACATTTTTTCTTGTTGATAACTCTTAAACCCTAAATCACTTTTTTCATAGAAATTAAACCTCCGTTCTATGTTGCTAGAATTAATTGATAGATAAGGAGAAAGAAAGAGGGGTCAAATTTTAGTGAGTTTTCAGATTTTGCAAGAAAGAGTTGAATCACTGAGAGAAACTATAAATTTCTATAAGAGAAGAGATTACGAGCAAGAAGCTAACCTTATTTATCATAAAGAAGAGGGTGTGAATGGTGCATGGAGAAGTGAGAACGATGAATGGAAAATGAAGGACAGTTGAGGACCAATACGAGAGGAAGAAATTGGGTTTCCTGAGCGTGAAACAGATGAGTTTGAAATGTTAAAACATATATATATATATATATATATAAATATATATATATATATATATATTAACATTGTTACAAAAATTAATTTTAATAAAAGTTAACTATTTATATAATAAAACAGAAAATATTTTACTATTATTTTAGACAAATATTAAGCTACATTGTCATGAAAATTATAATAATTATAGTAATTTTTTATTAAATTAATTAATAAAATTGAAAAGGTTAAAAAATAAAAATGAAGAAAAAAAGTGGAAAATTAAAGGAATAAAAAAATAATGATTATGATTGGCTAAAGTAATTGTGATTCGCCTTAATTGTCCCGAGTGTGAAAAGAGGGTGGTTCTTTGGTAACTGTCGTATTATTTTATACAACATGCCTAAAAAATTTGCGACGGTTGGCTCAAACCGTCGTGAGAACTGTTGTAGTCTAGGAATAAGGACGGTTTTTTCGATACCTGTCGCAAAAAATCTACGACAGTTGACCCTAACTGTCGTGACAACCGTCGCAATTCAAGAATAAGGACAGTTTTGTGATAACTGTCGCAACTCAAGTGTTGTAAATCTCCTTTTTTCTTGTAGTGGTTACCATTCATCTTTGCAGCGATTGATCAACAACAAGCCACGATCTCGGAAACACAATCTCTGACGTGTGATTTTTGAAAACACGATCAAGAATTTAACCGAAGCTTTGATACCAATTTGTTAGTGCGTGGGACACTTTTAGAGAGAGAGAGAATAAGGAAATAAGAATTGATATTATTTAATGAATGATTGATAACTGAATTACAAAGTGTCTTATTTATATAGACCTAAATGACTTGACTATTAAGCAATAAATATAACAAACTAAGTAACAAACCTTAAACTCTAATTAATTTTGAATTTGAACCACATAATTCAACTTAAATTATATCTAATATCTAATATTGTAGCCCTTGAAGTTGTTTGTGTAAGCATGCTATAATGTGTATTTAGCTTCTATACTAATGTATAATTTATAATATTTAATCTATATATTAAGCATACCTTATGTAACCACTTATTAATCATTAGTAATGGGAGGAAGGAGGAATTAGGAGTAATGTATAGTATTTTTGGTGGTATATGTTTTTCTTCAATAGTACATAGATTATAGACAATCAAGGTTAAACGGTGGTGTATGACCTTATATAAGATATGCTTCCTCTAATTAAAAATGATTTAATCCAAAAAAATATATAAACTATTTTTTTCTTCTTAAATATATTTTGTCCCTTGTTTTGCGGTTATCAAAATGGATGAGAAACACATACCAAAATTTCTAAATTAAAAGGTCTTAAGAAATTGTCAGCCAACAGAAAAAGCTTCCAAAAAAAAAGAAGACATAAATTGCTATACTTCAATGGCTAACCATTGTTAGGGAAAATGTTGACTAATAACTTATGCTTTTCCAATTTTTCTTTATTGATCTTCTAGGTTGTTCATCACCTAGAACACCACTCCATTACATTTTCATATTACACTTTTAATTCTAGCTTCAAATCCATAGCCACATTTTTTAAAAGTTTCTTCAATGGGGACTTGTAACAAATGTTAATCCCTTTTGATTATTATAATTACTTTTTTGAATCTGGCTATGGCTAATTAAAATACCCTCCATTTTAATATTCCTTATTATAAAGTTATCACATGTTACGAATGCATTATAGTTTATTCTTTGTACATACATTCATAGAATCAAAGATGGGTTTGAACTCAAGGGACATTAAACTTCATTTGTTGAAAGTTTTTCATCTTTCAATTGAAAAAAGCTATACTTTTATGAAAAAGTATCCAAAAATTTCAGGTGCTATGTTAGTCTTCCTCATCATGTATATATTTCTTTCTTGTATATACAATTTGTTGGTTTTCTTTTCTCCATTTATTGTGTTTACCGCAATTTTGATTACGATTTTTTGGAGTTCTGAGCAACCACTTCTAAAATGTGTTGAGAAAAAGGAAAGTGAAAAAATAGTTGAAGCGAAAAATCCACCTAATGTTTACATGAAAGATAGACGCGGAATGCTTTATAAGTATCCATCACAAAATGCAACGAGTAGAAGAAGAAATTTCACGGGAAAGAAATTGGATGTGTATGGTGATTTAGAGCAAAAAGCTAAGAATTTATCAGCAGTGTTTCGAAACGAATTCACTAAAAAGAACACGGAGATTAGATCAGGAGTAAGATTTCTTGACAAAGAGATGGACCCTTATTTTGATTCTAAGTCTACATCAAGAAAAGTCGATGATCCTCTAAAACAAACATTACATGCCACCAAACCCTCAATGGATGACCTTGTTACTTGTAACGCAAGTTATTATGATTGTCAAGAGATGAACACAGAAAAAACGGAAGAGGAGAAAAAGGCAATAGAGGATAGTAGTAGTGGTAACAATAAAGGTGCGGAACATAAAGAGGAGGATCAAAAAAAGCTAATGGATCTTGGGATTTGTGAGATGGAAAGAAACAAAAGGTTGGAGAGTCTTATAGCTAGAAGAAGGGCAAGAAAGCAGTTGAATTTGGAGATTGAGAATGGTTTACTTGATATGGAATCAATTTCACCAAGCCAAATTTCACCATTGCTTATTGCAAGAATGGACCCTTTTGATTCTCCGAGATATTTCGAGGGTATAGAAATGCCAGGTTCCGCTCCATCTGCTCTGAGAAGTCCGTTTGATATCCCTTATGAACCATTCGAGGAGAAACCGAATCTCAAAGGGGACATTTTGGATCATGAACTCACAAGTGACATGCATTTAGAACCTAAACATGACCTTCTTCAAGTTAGAGAGCATAGACAACCGGGTTCAAGAGTTCGAAGGGTTTCAGGTGATTAACACTTTCTCTTTTCTTTTCTTTTTTTATTTCTCCGAGTAAATAAATTTTATAAATAACTCGAATATCTATTGCTTATGAAGGTTTGTCGAATCATGAAGGTCCTGAAAAGTTAAACTCCTCAGAAGGAAGTGAAAGTAAATTACAAGCTCCTAATCTGTCAAATGAAGGAGACGAAACCACACACGAGGGGAAAGGAAAATGCAAAATTGATATGGTAAGTGAGGAAGTAGATGATAATGATCCAACACTAACAAATATTGAAGGAGTTATAGCTTCGGCTCCTAATCCTCAAGACGAGTTTCTTGATTTTCCGTTATCTACTACTAATGTTACTAATATAAATGATTCTTTGTATGAATCTCTTTCAACTCCTGTCTTTAAGAGCGACGAAAACATGTTAGTTACAAATGGACTAATTCGTCATAAGCAATCATTGTCCTTAGCTTCTGATTTACAAGTTGAGTTTTCTGAAATTGGTTCGCCAACGCTCACGGTCGACGAGGGTCATGAAGACATGTGGGGTGCAAATGAAAGTAGTGATCATGATAATTTAGAGCCGAACAATTGGAGGGACGTTGGTTCTTCGTCCTATTCATTACAAAATATTGATGAAGAAAATGATGGTGAATTGAGTTTTATGTCTCCGAGATCTGACACACGTGATGATACTCCAACTTATATATCGCGCAGGGATCATAATCTCTTTGGTAATGCGAGAAAAATTAGTGTGCCGCGATATTCTTCGGACGTGTTAGCGCGTTGGAAGCGGTTGATGTGGTTGATGGATACTCGTGTTAATCAGTCACCACATAAAATGCTTCCCGACAAAGTAGAGGTGAGTCATTTTGATGATACTATAGTTGTTAAGAAATTGAGCTCCGTAATAAGAATTTTTCAAAATTGCGGTTATGATGTTAAAAATTTCTTATAGGTATGTAACCAGACAGATAACTTAACAAACAAGGAACAAATTAGCAGTGAAGTGAATGACTCAGAAGCCACTGAGCAAGACAATACAAATGACTTAAGGAGCAATGAGGAGCCTGGTGCCTCGGTTACGCAAAAAGAAGCACCTAATGACTTAATAAACAAGGAACAAATTAGTAATGATGAGAATGACTCAGAAGCCAACGAGCACGACAACACAAATGACGTAATGAGCAATGAGAAGCCTGGGGCATCGGTTACGCAACAAGAAACACCTAATGACATAATAAACAAGGAACAAATTAGCAATGATGAGAATGACTCAGAAGCCACTGAGCAAGACAATACAGATGACTTAAGGAGCAATGAGGAGCCTGGTGCCTCGGTTACGCAACAAGAAGCACCTAATGACTTAATAAATAAGGAACAAATTAGCAATGATGAGAATGACTCAGAAGCCAATGAGCACGACAACACAAATGACTTAATGAGCAATGAGAAGCCTGGGGCATCGGTTACGCGACAAGAAGCACCTAATGACTTAATAAACAAGGAACAAATTAGCAATGATGAGAATGACTCAGAAGCCGATGAGCACGACAACACAAATGACTTAAGGAGCAATGAGAAGCCTGGGGCATCGGTTACGCAACAAGAAGCACCTAATGACTTAATAAACAAGGAACAAATTAGCAATGATGAGAATGACTCCGAAGCCGATGAGCACGACAAGACAAATGACTTAATGAGCAATGAGAAGCCTGGGGCATCGGTTATGCGACAAGAAGCACCTAATGACTTAACACACAAGGAACAAATTAGCAATGATGTGAATGACTCAGAAGCCACTGAGCAAGACAGCATAAATGAATTAAGGAGCAATGAAGAGCCTGGTGCATCGGTTACGCGACAAGAAGCACCTGATGACTTAACACACAAGGAACAAATTAGTAATGATGTGAATGACTCAGAAGCCACTGAGCAAGACAGCATAAATGAATTAAGGAGCAATGAAGAGCCTGGTGCATCGGTTACGCGACAAGAAGCACCTGATGAAATCTCAATTATCACAACTTCACCATCATCATCACTAACATCTGTATTGCAGATACCACATACGACGGTCGCAGATCAAGAGATACACACAGGGATTCAACCATCTTATATAGAGGATGTGACACAAGAAACAGTAAATGGCGAAGGTTTACTCGATTCAATGTCTCAAAATATTCAGCTTTTTGTGGACGATTCAAATGTCGAATCACATAACCGTGACTTGGATAATTCTCAGGTGTTAGTTGTGGTAGATTTTTTTTTTTTTTTTTATCTATTTTAGTTGATAGCCATTTCACTTACAGAGAACGTTTTTCCTGTGGAATTGAATAGGAGCAATTGATTTCTCCAATGGTAGAATCATCCTCAGAAATTCACATAGAGAATGAAGGAAAATCTCAGGCATCATTGACAGAAGAGGCTAGCATGAAACCTTTTATCAATTTTGAAACAGTAAACACAAATTCTGCTGAAGATTTTGAAGATAAACAGGATAGCTTGAAAGAAAATGAAGCCGAAAATCATAGCTCGAACGAGGATAACTATTTACAAAGTGAGTCAAATCAGGTGGTTAATGATCATATAGATAAGGAACAGTTGGACAAAGGTAACGACATCTCTGACGATTCTTCGCTACCAATGGTCACTGAAGAAACTATTAATGCTGATGATACATTAAGAGAATCTAGTATGATGAACAATAATGAAGCGAATGACCGAGAATTGGACGAAAATAATGAAACCGTGGTTTCATCTGAACCAGCTGGAGAAACTGATAAGGTTAGCAATATAGCACACATGAATGATCCTTAAGAAAGCACTTCAGTTTGAGGATGTAACACAAACTATCTAGCACAGACACTTTATATGTCTGGTGTCTGACACCGACACATGTGGTTACATTCAATCACTCATTTCTATTTTCTTAAAGTACTACTGGTGCCTACGTGTTTGTACCATTATCGTGTCTTGTATCTGGATCAATATATGCTTCAACTTTAGTGGTGGCATTGAGAACTTGCAAAGAATTTGCGAAATGGTGCAACATGGAAAATGTTAAGACCTGTGTTTCTTTGAAGTTGCGCATCTGAAAATTGGTTTGGCAGCAGAAAGTGAAGTCTGCATTAGTTAAATTCCATGCTCAGAAGATAGTACATAGTTCCATAGATGTTCATAATTGTATTCTATTAGTCACATTGCACATATGTACACTATAATATATACAATGTAGAAAGTAAGAAAATTAGAAGTTCCTTTGTATCTCTTACAAACACATTTTACTTTATATATATGTATATTCCTTTGATGAAAGTTTTATAAGTGTGTTCTTTCTGTTAGAAAATTATAGGGCAAAGATTAATGAATTTCTCTGTAACAACTAAATTCTGCCCAATTTCTTAAGTGTGAAATCAAAGAAAGTGAGATAAAGAAAGTCATCAATTTGACAAAGTCATTGCTAGTCATGAATGCGAGAACAAAACCTTGCTTGAACAAGATCAATCTTCATTCGAGCGGTGCAGCTACCTTCAACAACACTTTTCACTCAAGTGATGCATACACATAAGGTTTCAATGTTCAAGTTTGTTCTTTACACTTCAAGAATTGAAAAGAAGAATAAAAGATTGAAATGAAAGACACTTTTCACTCAAGTGATGCATACACATAAGGTTTCAATGTTCAAGTTTGTTCTTTACACTTCAAGAATTGAAAAGAAGAATAAAAGATTGAAATGAAAGAAAGTATGAAGGGAGAAAAAGATAGTATATTATTGATCTCAATCTTTAGGAGCTATTTATATTGAGATTATTTACAAGTCAAGTAATCATATTGTCTAACTAACTCCAAACCAAAATTCTGTTATGTAACAGAATTTTTAACAACTAACTATCTCGTTACTTGTTCTCTAAGTAACACAAAGGACACTATGAATTACACTTTAACACACCATCCAATTCATTGTGTCTAGACTCTACATTTGTCATTCTTCTAAACCTTTTGAACAATTCAACCTATACAACTTTGGTCATTATGTCACCTATTTGATTCTCACTTCTACAATGCTCCAAGTACAACCTTCCATTGCTTACTTGTTCTCTAAGATAGTGAAATCTCTTTTTAATATGATTGCTCCTTTCATGTGCTATTGGGTTATTGGCCAAGTTGATAGCATGCATGTTATCAATTCTCATAATCAAAGCTCCATGACTATTGCCTTCAATCTCATCAATTAAATTTACCATCCATGTTGCTTGACAAGCAAAGAGAGAAGAAGTTATGTACTCTACTTCACATGATGACAAAGCTACAACTGATTCCTTTCTTGAGTTTCAAGCAAGTGACGCACCACCTAACATGAACACATAACTAGTTGTAGATTTTGTATCCTCAACATCACCACACTAACTTGAGTCAGTGTATCCTACACGTCTGCTTTTCTTTCCTTCATATGTTACTGAAAACTATATTCCATAATCTAGTGTGCCTTTGAGATACCTTAGTATTCTCTTGGTAGCTGCAAGATTTTACAACTTTACCTTCTACATGAATCTACTCACCATGCCTACACTGTATGCTATAGTACATCTTGTGTGAAATAAATATCTCAATGATCCAATAAATCTTCTATAATGAGTTGGATCAACATCATTTTCATTTGAATCCTTTATCAATTGTAATCTTGGTTTAATTGATGTTGAAGTAGAATTGCAATCCTCCATTTCAAACCTCTTGAGTATCTCACTAGCCTATCTTCTTTGGTGCATCATCAGTCCTCAGCCTCAGCCACACTCGTAGAATTCAATTCTTAAAAAATATGAGAATTTTCCAAATTCAAGCATCTCAAGTCTTTGCTCAAGACAACTTTGAAATCTTAAATCTCCTTCTTATAGCTGCCTATGATTAACAAGTCATCTACATAGAGACAAAGCATTAGCAACTCACCTTTGCTTCTTCTGATATACACACCATGCTCTATTGTACACTTCAAAAACTTTTTTCTCTTAGAAAACCATCAATCTTCCTATTCCAAACTCTTGAAGCTTGTTTAAGCCCATACAACGCTTTATGCAGTTTGTACACCTTACTCTCGGCCTTCCTTCTCAAAAACCAGCTAGTTGTGACACATAAAGCTCTTTATCTAAAAGACCATTCAGAAATGCTCAGTTCACATCCATATTACACATTAGCCACTTGTTCATGTTTTCTAAGCCAACAACCAACATGATCGTTTCAATCTTGGAAACTAGTGTGCAAACCTCATCAAAGTCAACTCCTTCTCTTTGAAGAAATCCTTTGAGCATAAGTCTTTGCTTTGTGCCTAGTCATTTCTCCTTAAGGATTCATCTTCATCATGTACACGCACTTCACATCAATTGCTTTCATTCTCTATGACAATTCAACTAGTGACAAAGTTTTGTTGACCTTTATGAATATCAACTCCTCCAACCCAACATTCATCCACCTTGAATTCTTCAGTGCTTCAGTTGCATTTACAGACTCGGTGTTTGCATAGAAAGCATAATGTACCATTTGATTTGACGTCACCTTCATCATTGACCACATAATTTGATGTTATCACACGGTCTTGCAGCCTTGTTGGCATGTTTCTAGTCCTTTGAGGCCTGCTTGTGTATGTTTGAACCACGATGCCTTTTGATTGAATCTCTATTGATTGAATCTCTATGTCAGCTTCACCACTTGGTTCATCACACATGATTCTCACTGAGTATTTCTTGACATTATCACTCAGGTTCCATTATTTTAGTTCATCAATGATCACATTTATGATGATCACAACCTTTCTATTCATATGATTAAACAACTTCTAGCCATCAATTGAATGATATTCAATAGGGATCATTTGACTTGACTTGCGATCAAGCTTTCATCTCAACTAGTCAAGTGGATGCCTATGTGAAACAAGCATATTTTGTTTATTTTTTCAACAAGCATATTTTGCGATCAAGCTTTCATCTCAACTACTATGAATTACACTTTCAACAATGGTAACTAATTAAACTGTCTCTAATATAAGATATTTTGTTTATTTTTTCACTATACATTTAGGCCAGAGAAACAAGCATCATGGAGTTCTTGGGAAACAAGCTTTAATTTCCAGGGTCATGTGTGCATTTTTTTTCTCTAATCTTGTTTCATGGAGTTCAAAGAAACAAGCGTTAGCTGCACACTCAAGCACCGAAGCAAAATATCGAGCGTTAGCTCATATGACTTTAGAAGTATTGTAGTTAGAATCATTACTTTCTAAACTATATATTTCTTACTTAGTTTCCACCCTATTGTGCGACAATCTCAGTGATTATAATCTAATTTTTCATGCAATAACAAAGCATATCGAGCTTAATATTCATTTTGTTCACGAGAAGGTGATGGAGAAGCAACTACTCATCCAATTGCTTAAATTGTGGACGTGTTATCAAAACCACTTTGGAATACTTTTCTTATTTTCAGACCAAACTCAAGGTGTCTTCATTCCCTCCACAATAATTTTGTAGGGGAGTAATAGAAAGGTGTTAAAGATGAGTTAGTTTAAGTAGTTAAAGTGTTAGTTAGTGTTTGTATGAAGTTAGTTACTATGGTTATAAAAGTTAGTTAATAGTGTGTAACTAACTTCTACATGAACCAAACTCTATCACTCTATCACTCTATCACTAAGATGCTACTTGTATAAATAGGTTCTCATGCATAATGTAAAGGTTAACCAATCATAATAAAAAATCAGTGAAGCTTGGCTTCAGCAAGAGAATCTTGCACTATCATCTTCATCTCTCTCTAAATTCTACATGAACCATAGATCAAAATTATAACACTGAAGGAGGAAAATAATTGTAACAAGTGGTACTATAGTTGCTTCACCAAGCAACGTAAATTTACAATGTTTCATAATTAAATACTATATTTTCTTATTTAGTTACCTATTTGTTCAATTATTATAGGGCATGTTATGAGATTTTTTTAAAGTTACGCTATTGGAGCAAATACTATATGAGATTTTTCTAAGTAAATCGGGTATGTCTAGCAGACCGGACTCGTTTTGCTATCTCTACTAATGTTACTATATCATTTTACTTTTAACGTACATCTGCATTTCTTAATCCAAGTGCACATAATTGTTAAAATGCACTATTGAAACACTTAGATTATACAATCTAAATGCATTGGAAAATAAAAAAAAACAACATAACAATTTAACAATCTTTATTTCAAATAACACAGCAATATTACGACTAAGTATAAATTATAAATTAAAACTAAATACAAATGACCCAATTAGCATGAGATCTAGTTCAAGGTCTATAAATTAGATTGTGATGTTACATCTATAATGAATTTACTTTAATTAATTATTTTATTATATATATAATTATTATATCAATTAACATTTACTTAATTAAATGAATATTGTATTGGGCTTAATTGTTAAATGACCCGTGATGGGTTGGGTCATTCTTTTGGATAGTCCGCTGAGAGGTCCCTTCCCTCATCTGGTGGTTATATATTTGACTATCCCATTAGGTTAGATAATTAAGCGTAACCGTTCCATCAGAAGGAGGGCAGTAGCATTCTCAGTTTACACTCAGGCAAATGGATTCAACCATGACAGGTACATGTTTATTGCATTATTGATATTATAATATGTCGTACAATCATATCTATAATTAGGCTATATGATTAGTTTTTCCATCATGTGATTCCTTAATCACATGAAATTCAGTTATTGTCAAACCCAAAGTATATGGACGAGATGATCATAAAGAGAAGATTGTATAGTTTTTTCTCACTCAAGCAAGAGACTC